GGAATTATTTGTTAACCTAATGTAAGAAAATGACCATCGGAAGAAAAATCCAATCCATTTCCACATCCTAACATTGTAAGAGTAGCTTGACGTATTGAGGTATGATTTTTGGGAAATTCTAGTTCATGTTTCATAGTTTATTGGCTCTAAGTATCACCTCCTTCCACTTACAACTGCTGTACAGAACAGAAGATATTAATTAGAAAATGTAGTTTCGTCCTAACTCTGATATAAAAACTGTAACTTACCGGCATACAACGCGCCATTTGACTATTATTAAATTTCACATGAATTGTTTCAATAGATATACCATCAGTATTGATAAATTCAGCATCACCGGTTTTTGGTGTTGAGGATGAAGTAGAAGCCATTTGAAAAGAAAAATCTGAAAGAAAACAAATTTTCACGATGGACATAACACAAGCAAAATCAATTATAAGGCCGAAATTACACCGAAACAAATAAAACAAAAGTAGCAACGTGATTGGTTAATTCACATTTAAATCATCTTTTCTAGACGATTTATTCGTTAATTCTGTTTTAATTCATTTTGAATTAGTCGGTGTGATTTCGGTCTAAAAGTTTAAAAGCTCAAAGAAAATCTTTCAATTTAATTCATTTGATTGGTACTACAAGCGCCTTTTTGTCTCCGCATATTCAACCTTTATTTTATACTTTAACATATTTTTTAATAACAAAAATTTTATTTTTTATTTGAAAAAATGTTTATTTGAATGAATAAGTTTCCTAGATGTCGCTTTATTCCATCAACAATCCAATGAACGACTCAAAGCGTTTGTTATTGCTTTCAATTAATCAAACAACTTATCAGTTCGATTCACGATGGTATATTTAGATTTGATTTATTATAACTTCTATATTCTTTCTTCTGGTCTGCTTTATTTAATTTTCAAAGTTTACTTGTTGTTATTTTACTATTAATATGTACATGTATTTATATCCATGATTTTCATTCAAAATTACTCAATCGTTATAAAACAGGGTTTGAAGATTTCAGTAAAATTTTAATTTCTATATATAGATAATTTAGATTTCGTGGTACATTTTGGAAATTTGCTCGAATTGGTCAAAGACAAAGTCAATATGTATCAATATTTTGTCTTGGAATGGCTTTAAGTGTACTTTTTTTGCAACAGACAACATGTTTGTTTTTTGTTCATGTTTCGTTTTTCTTTTGCTTAAAAAAATCTTATGTAAAGTTCGGTGTGTGTTTTAGATGACAGGTCGATACAAATCATTTAATTTAATTCATCATCTACGTGATGAAGCATTAAAATCTAATCATGAGAATTCAACACGATCGAAATATTTTCAAAAACGTTTCGATTTTTATTCAACATTATATTCTCAAGATGGAAGAAGTCATTTAGGATGTGGAAATGGATTGGATTTTTCTTCCGATGGTCATTTTCTTACATTAGGTTAACAAATAATTCCAAAAATAAATAAATAAAATCATTTTTCAGGTGAAGATGATAAACGTGTGCTTATTTGGAATATGTCTGAAACACTTTTTAATGAAACAAATTGATCACCGATGATATTAAATGCAACACATTTAAGTAATTTTTTTTTTATTAAATGTGATAATCAAAATCGAAGGATTATTTCAGCTGGTAAATGAAAGATAAAATAAACTTTTATGTAGTTATTTTCTTTCATCAAAAAGCTAATGATGAACAAATATTAGTACATGATATTGAAAAACAACATCAGTATGTTTATTAGAACTTGTTTTTTAGTTTATTTTTTATGATTTTCAGAGGATTAAATGTGCTCATTCTGATGAATTAGTCGATGTATTTCTTGAATCTTCTCCAATCAATTGTTTATTAATTCAACCAGAACAAAATGATGTATTTATCGCCGCAACTGAAGGTGGTCATGTTCATTAATATGATTTACGTTTTGCTTCATCAGCAATTGAACATGATCAACCATCAATTATTGTTGCTGAATCATTTGATGGTTCATATCATTTATATACATTTCATCCACAACAAACATGTTTAGTAGCTACAGCTAATGCAAGACAAGAAATTGAATTATATGATATTCGACTTTCTAAAAGGTTCATAATAAAAAAATTTTTTTTTTAAATAAACATTTCGATCTTTTTAGTCCAGTGCTTTGTTATGGTGCACCAATACCTACATCACGAAAAATCTCAACTATTCATAATGATATTGATGTTAAAGATATGAGTGTCACATTTAATAGTGATGGGTGTCTTTTATACGATCTTCGACGTCGATTACCTCCGGTACTATTGAAACTTCATCAATCAAAGGCGTTTTGTCAGTTTGATGCAGATAATTATGTAAATTTATGTAGAATGAAATCAGGTTGCTTTGTTGGTGATTGTGATCAAGTATTTCTTTTTTTTTCTTATATTTAAAATATAATTTACCGAGTTTTTAATTCAGTATATCACAACAGGTTCAGATGATTTTAATGTTTATATTTGGCGTATACCAGACAATGATTATAGTAGTAAGTTTTGATAATCAAAATTCAATGTTTTTTTAAATTTAATTGAATAGATACAAATCAATGTCATTCTAGTTCACATCTTAATTCAGGTATTTTGTTTTATTTCTATAATTTAGTAATGGAATTTTATATAAATAGATCATTTTATATGGAATGCACATATGCTTTTACATGGGCATCGATCTATTGTTAATCAAGTTCGATATTCACCTCGTTTACATACAATAATATCAAGTGGGTGTGGGTGTGGGTGTGGGTGTGGGTGTGGGTGTGGGTGTGGGTGTGGGTGTGGGTGTGGGTGTGGGTGTGGGTGTGGGTGTGGGTGTGGGTGT